TATTGAAAAAACAAAAGTTGTATCCAAGATGGCCGACTTCTAAATGGCCACCATGGTCACCACCCATCTTGAGGAGTTTGCCCCCTCACATATACTATGTGAGGGGGATATTAAAGTCCACAAACAGGACTTTAATATCACCAACCATTCCCATTTTATTACGGTGTATCCATATAAATGGCCCACCCTGTACAATGAGCAGCCGAAACATCAAAGCCTGACAGGTGACGTGAATAGCGTCAGTGTTAAAGTGCATTGTTGTGGATGTTACTTGACTACCCAACTAAGCATTGTTGCAAACCAAACATACACACACAGACCTGAAGGATATTGTACCAAAAAGTTAAAAAAGAAGAAATTTTCATGAAAATTCAAGGAACACAACAAAGAGCTGTAGGCCCACACTCCCCAGACCCCAGTCCAATCAAGCATAGAGATGCACTCTGCAGCCCACAGCACCCAGCAGGCCCGATGCCAACAAACTGGTGCTAGACACCACATGACAGGTACATTGTCCATCAGTCAGAATAATATTACACATGTTCTTGCTCCTCTTGTTCTGCAGATTAAAGGCCTCTAATCAGAATTTCAGGTGTCTATGAAGCATGCATTCTTTTAAGATAGTGAAAGTGCTGGTAAGCATTTTACATAAATTCATCATGAATGTTTGAATAATTTGAATTTATTTAGCATTTTCTTCAATCCACAAAGAGTAACTTTATACAAACACTCACTTAAATATTATAATGAAAGGTGCTGAAGGTTGCACATTGCCTGTTAACTTTATCTTAGTGATCATGATCGACTACAACTCGTAGTGTTTCTTTAAAAAAAAAAAGGATTGGTTGGCAGCACTCATTGGATTGACCAATACTCAGAAACATGCAAAAGTCCAATGAAACCAGTGAAGATCTAAGAGGGAGAATTGTAGATGCACAAAAGTTTGGATGGTCTCTATGTGCCATTTCTTCTTCACTGAAGAAGAAACTCCTGCTTCAAGCTCGACTGAAATTTACGACTGCCCACATGGACGAGGCAAATGGCTCGTGGAGAAAAGATTTATGGTCAGACCAGACAAAGGTTAAGCTATTTGGCCATAATGGCAAGAGGCATGATTGGAGAAGTAAAGGTGATGTTTTCAGTCCTAAATACACTGTACCAACTGTCAAGCATGGTGGTGGTCCTGTTTTGCTGCCAGTGGTACATTGCACATTGCAAGTGGATGGAATAATAAAAAAGGACTACCACCAAATTCTTGAGCTTCAACACCTCAAATCAAATGCTAAATAGTTTAACCACAACCAATGTTGGGTATTCCAAGAGGACAATGATCTCAAACTCAAACCAAAACTGTTTTAGGATGGATAAAACAGGCTAACATTAAGCTTCTCTAATGGCCTTCCCAAAGCCCCGACCTCAACCCCTTTGAAAATGTGTCAACTACAATCATTCCACCCTATGACATTCCTGCCCAGGACACTTCTCCAGTCCATCTTTAATAACCTGAAAAGTTGGTTGATTCCCACCTGACTCCAGTCTTTAAACTCTGTTATTTTTATTTTGCTTTACTATCAAGGAATATACAGTGCCGGCATATTACAAGTGGACATCATGGCATTCGAAATACAATAAATATACGTCAGCTTTTACTATTAGTTGCTGCTTCCCCAGCACAATATCTTGAAAACAAAGTGGGCAGGTGTTTATAGCCTGTTGTTTTCTTCCTTTTGTCCTTGAGCTCTGAGATGGCCGCATGACGTTCATAAAGCCTCTACAAATGTCACTGGCACTGAAACTAACAGCCAAGGCATAGTGACACGCGATGTCAGACTTACTTAGACCCTCACACTCACTGGCTTTGTGCCATTTCTCTCCACTTTGCATAACAATCTAGCTAAAAGAGGAGTCGATGAGGATGTTGAGATACAAAAGAGAATCTGTTTTATATTCAAGTCAAGCTTTTGTTCATTTTTCTGCATGTTCACACTCTAAATCCAATCCAAATTTGAGTGTGAGCATTATCGTGTTCGCAGCTGTTGTTCGGCAAGGCCAGGTCACCACCCTATATACTGGTACCATAACTGCTACTTCATTCTGTCACCCCCACGCTTCATCTTATTGGCCTGACATTGTTTCCTTCCATTTACCCT